CCCCCCACCCCACACACACACACACACACACACACACACACACACACGTGCAGTGAACATCAGTAGGTCTATTGTATAGTCCAGGCTCGCCTTCAGTCAACATCCTCCCCACCATCCCACTCAACTTTCCCAGGGCTAGGATTACAGGCATGTGGGATTACACCTGAACACCTCCTATGTGAGTCTCTAAATAATTCTGTACCCTCTGTTCTAAGAGACCAAGACTGAAAGGAAGAAGGGGGAAAACAAACAAAATCCCCCCACAACCTGTGAATGTTCTTTGAAAAACAGCTTCTGTGGTGGAGCTTAGCATTGTGTGAGGCCCCACATTTGATCAGCACCAAAGCCGAACAGTGTGGTAGAATGTGCACTCTGGTCAATGGTGTCTTACACTAAAGTTAAATCTTATTTTACCAATAAGGACTTGGGAGTCAGATGCTGGGATGAAAACCTGCTAGCTCAGAGAGGCCGAGGAACGACCAGCTGGTCTTCCTCGTTAGCCAGCGTCTCAGAAAGAGTTTCTCTTTCACATTCCCAAACCAAAAAAGCCACCAGACTCAGTCCCTTCTCACCACTTCCTGTGCATTTCTCTATCTGGTTTTCCTGACTCCCTCTTACTATCTATGGCTGCTTCCTGTCAGCTAGTTGCTGGCTCCCCCTCTTGACCCAAGGTTGATTTTGTTTAATTAACACAATCTCAGGGTTCACAATGTGATCCAATACCCCACAACACGTTTCCCACTGGTGCACAAGTTTAAGCTGCTTTCCTCGTGTGTCTGTGATCATGGTGTTTGGTGGGGGCAGGCACAATTCAGGTCCTGAACTAACACGGTTCTGTGCGGCAGGACAGACAAGTAAACATATTTGAAAACGACCTACGAGTTCCTTTGGCTTCTAACTATAATAGTAACTCAAATCTCTCATAAAAGACCAGAAAATAAATGTTTGACAGGCATGCAGCCTCACGCCCACAACAGATGTATCAGCTGTTTTGCTGCATTGTGAGGTGGGTGATTCTGTGGAATGCTGGCATCCAGAGAGACCTTCCTAAATCTACTGATCTGGAACAACATAGACATACTCTGACCCCTCCCGCCTACTTCTAGAGACAGGGCCCAGTGAACATCCCGACACTGGTGCTGGCAACCACAGCAACTTGGAAGCCCCTCAGCTCTCAGGGATTCAGGACACTTAGGTAAAAACTGCACAGTAGCTTGACTTCACAGGGTGCTGGAGCCAGGAGCCATCTTTCGAAGGGGAATATCCCTGGGCTTTAGACTGCTGTAGGAGTTAGAATCCTGGGCGTATCCCCATCTCTGGGACCCCACAGGGATTATCTGCTTTGTGGATAGCACTTGGTCCTGCAGAGTAGCCGAACTGAGCCCACTAGATGTTCTGCAGTACAGGGAAAAGGTGTTGGTGAAGGTGGAAGGTACTGCCTTCAAGAACCAGATCAGGGAACTTGTTCTCTGAAACCAAGATGTAGCCAGTTCTGTGGATTTGCCCGGTGCCAGGCTGAGGGCAATATGGTTCCTGCTGCTGCTTCCACTGCACTGAGCTTGGGCACTGATAATGCAAGGGCGGGGAGAGAGCACCATGTTTCCCACTGGTGCACAAGTTTAAGGGGTTCTGAGAGGAACTGGACCCATTGAAGCGCCACTCCCAGGTAGAAACTGCTACCAAAACTGCTCACCTACTCAGTCCCGGCTTCAGCCGAGGCTCCTATGGCCACCTCTCCCCGTGTAGCATTCAGGCCCACACTGTTGACTGCTGGGAGGCAAGTGCCTGACTTCTAGGACCAGGGGTATTTGCTAGTTGCACAGAGGACTTTGAACTCATACTGATCCTGTGTCAGCCTCCCTAGTGCTGGGATTACAGGTGTGAGAGCTGCTACTCTTGGCTGTGTGTGTGTGTGTGTGTGTAGTGTATACACAAGCATGCGCATGTGGCCATGCATGTGTGGAGGTCTGGGAATGATGTAATGGGAGTCTCTTCTCTCCTCCTAACCTCTGAGTTCCAGGAATCAACCTCAATGTTGTCAAGTCTGTACAGCAAGCACTTTACCCACTGGGTCCTCTTTGGCCCTGAGAGAACATTGTGACAACTGATAATTTGTAGTCGAATTAGTGTCATGTCTTTTAAACTAAGCAAATAAAAATACAAAATATTCAGTTTCAAATTCAAAATATTCAGAAAATAGTTTCCACTTAATATAACAAAATATATTTTATAATTATAAGAAACCAATAAATCCAGAAAATAATAATAAACCCAACATACTTCATAGTTTCTCCAACTTTAATACAAATAAGAATTGCCTAGGCTGGGCGGTGGTGGTGCATGCCTTTAGTCCCAGCACTCGGAAGGCAGAGGCAGGCGGATCTCTGTGAGTTTGAGACCAGCCTGGTCTACAAGAGCGAGTTCCAGGACAGCCTCCAAAGCCACAGAGAAACCCTGTCTCAAAAAACCAAACCAACCAAACAAAAACAAAAACAAAAAAACCCACAAACAAACAAACAAAAGAATTGCCTAAGGAGTCTCTTTTTTTCTTTTCAATGCATTTCACTTATGTTTCTTTTTTTGCATTTTTAATTAATTAATTTTTTTTACATTCCAATCCCAGTTCCCTCCTCCCCACTTCCTCCCATCTGCTCCACGGAGAGGGTAAGGCCTCCCCTAGGAAGTCTAAGTCTGTCACCTAGGGAGTCTCTTAAGTGCATTGGGATTCTAGGCTGGGCCAGTGCTATTGCATTTTTCACGAATTCCCAGGGATCTTTGATGTTCTCTGTCTCTTCTCTCCTTTCCTTCCCCACCCCTTTGTTTTTGCTTGTTCTGGGATCCTACCACAAGCCATGCACCTGTGGGGTGAGCACTACCACCCGGCTGCGTTCAGCCTTCCACATACTTAGTTGTAGAAGCACGTGGCCTCAGCTATGCATGGATTGAATGTTAATTCCTAAGTTAGTGATTAAATTAGGAAGTGTATGGCAGGGCAGGAAGTGTCAAATGTACATGTGTGTGACAGGGGAAGGGAGGAAACAGAATGAGCCCTCTTTTCCAAAGATGAGAGTTAATGCCTCCCGTGGGAAGGACACTGGGCATGGTCACTCGCAGCGTCACTGAAGGCCCACCACCCACCATCCCAAACGAGCTCCAGCTAATCCCAGGACAGGGCAGCTAAGAGGAAAATGTTAGCAAGGTCCAGCAGAGGGTGAGAGGATCCCACAGCTGTAGTCAATGTTTTCTTAAAGTGTCAATGTTGAAAACGGTGTTGGTGGGAGGCACTTCCTTAGCCCTCCCCTCTCACAGTCCTTCTGTGAGCTCCAGGACAGTTCTGTGAGCCATCCTGCTGCTTCATCCTGGGTGTGGCCACAGGGCTGCCAGGCATCTCCCCACCACTGCCAAGCTCAGTGGGGCCAGGGCTGGCTGGAATTCTCTGAGTAAGGCCAAGGGGGAGAGTGGCTGTGCCTTCATGTGGCTGTGCCTTCATGTGGCTGTGTTTGATCTGATGGTCTCTGGCCTGAGCTGTAGCTTGCTGCCAACAAAGCCCTGGGCTGGGTGAACAGTTTCCTCCCTAGTAGACTCGCTTGTGCAAGATGAATTTGCACAGTTCCTACCTCATAAGGATCATGTTACAGTGTGGGCTCAGCAAAGCCATTAAGGCCTCATAACAGTCCTCAGGGACCTGATGAATCAAGCTTTTTTAATGTTTTTTTTTATTATGTTTTATATGTATGGGTCTTTTGCCTGCATATATGCCTGTGTGTGCTGAGGAAGCCATAAGAGGGCAATGGATCCCCAGGAACCAGAGTTAAGAGGGTTATGAGCCTCCATGTGGGTGCTGGGAAGAGCAGCCAGTGTTGGGAACCGCCGAGCTCTCTTGAGCCCATCAAACTTTTCAACTCTCCTGTAAACAGTCTCCTGCAAACACACAGTCCAACCCAGCCCAGTGAGCTGGGCACAAATCCGTCCTCTCACAGGCCTGGTCCTTCAGTAGTGTTGGTCCTTTCTCTGCTGTCCTTGCTCCCTGATACTGATGGGTTCCTTAGCTGGTCCTAACCAATCCACCAGGGGCTGGTTTTCCTCCAGTCACCTCAGGTTATGCAGTCTCTGTCTTAATATTGTGATCTTGAAAGGATCTAGGCTCGGGGTCTGGGCTACATAAGAGGAAGACCGAAAGCTGAACACAAGCAGTCCACACTTCCTGACTGTGGGTGTGATGTGACAAGATGCCTGGAGCTTCTGCTGCTGGGCTTTCCCTGCCAGGATGGATTGTGTTTTCTAACTGTGGGGTAGAATAAACCCTCCCTCTCCCTCACCCCTTCCCCTCTTTTCTTCCTTCAGTTGCTTTGCCAGGTATCCTGTTGCAGCAACAAGACAACTCATGTCGATGGGTAGTTATGGCATTCAGTTTCTCTGCTCCTATAGCACGCACCTCACTGGTCCCATCTGTACCCATGTCCCCCTGTCTTGAGAGCCGTGCTGTGACAAGCTTTCTCTTTTCTATTTATATCTTAGATTAGTAGATGTCTCAGTGGGTAAAGGCACTTGCCATCAGGAATGATGACCTAAGTTTGATCCCTAGGACCCACACAGTGGAAGCAGAGACCCAACCTCTGCAAGTTGTCCTCTGTCTTATGCATTTGTGCACACATTCATACAAGTAAATATAATATAGAACAATTAAAAGTATTTCCTGCGGGCTGGAGAGATGGATCAATGGTTAAGAGCACTGGCTACTCTTCCAGAGGTCCTGAATTCAATTCCCAGCAACCATACGGTGGTTCACAACCATCTATAATGGGATCTGGTGCCCTCTTCTGGCCCACAGGCATACATGCAGGCAGGACACTGTATACTCAATAGATAAATCTTAAAATAATTAAAAAGAAAAAAAAGTCTTTCCTGGAGCGGACAAGATAGCTCATCAGGTAGAGGTACTTGCTACCGACCCCATCAACCTGAGTTTAGTCTCCAGGACCCACATGGTGCAAGGAGAGAGCTGGTTCTTGGAAGTCATTCTTTGACTTCCATATACATGCTCACACACAAAGTAATAATTAAAAACAGTCATTTTTAGTCTTTCTTCTGGGGCTGTAGCTCAGTTGGTAGAATGCTGGGCTAGTGTACATTAGGCCTGGACTCAGTCCCAGTACCACAGGGGATGCATCACACCGATGGCATTCAGGCCTGTAATCCTAGCCCTCTAGAAGTGGAAAAGGAGTCAGCTCAAGGTCACCCTCAGCCTCAGCTCGTTTCTGGTCAATGTAGGCTATCTGTGTCCTTGTCCCCCAAAAGTAAGTCTTTTTCCAAACCAACCAGTTCAAAGGCAAACTATTCTGGTTACCATAGTGCCCTTCATGCTGTACCCTGATGCTGGAGCTGTCTTCTGACCTGATCTGAGTTTTGGGCTCCCAGGAAGGGATGCTTGGCACAGGCCTAGGGTGTACTTTCCCTTATGCACCTTACCTGGAGGGCAGAGCAAGTCAATGCCTCCATCTCATTTTTTTTCCCTTTCACTTTTCTCACCAACTCAGAGTCCAGTGCATGCTAACTAACATCTACCATGTCTGTCTCATTGCAGTTCCCCTGTACCTCAGCCCCAGTTGCATGTCTTATTGCCCAGAGCAAAGGCCACAGCACTGACACCGTAGCCTGCTTAAGGTCCTGTCCCATATACACTACTTTCAAGGACTGTAATATATGTATTCTTTTCTTTAAAAAATTGTGTGAATGCTTGCTTGATGCCCACAGAGGCAGAAGAGGGTTTTGGATACTCTGGAACTGTAGTTAAGATGTTTGTGAGCTGCCATGAGTGCTGGGATTGGAACCTGGGTCTTCCGCAGGGGTGCTGGGATTGGAACCTGGGTCTTCCGCAGGGGTGCTGGGATTGGAACCTGGGTCTTCCGCAGGGGTGCTGGGATTGGAACCTGGGTCTTCCGCAGGGGTGCTGGGATTGGAACCTGGGTCTTCCGCAGGGGTGCTGGGATTGGAACCTGGGTCTTCCGCAGGGGTAGCAAGTGCTCTTAACTGTTGGGCCATCTCTGCAGCCCTTGTGATACATTCTTTAGTCCATCATCCATTTGGGGGCATCTCTGTGCTCAGTAGGTGGACCCCATTCATCAGGTAAGTGTTCTTCTTTTGATGCCCTAGGATTCTTCCCAGAGACACTGCCTTCATACGGGTTGCTTAGTTGCATGCCTTTCAGCCATGGCAGGGGCAATGCCACTGCTAATGCTGGAAGGATGACAATATTGGGATTAACCCTGCGAGCATTCCACTTTCAGATAATTGCAGCTGCATGGCTCTTCACTAACAGTAGAGGCAATGCAACTCCCAGACTTATGCTTAGTTCTGTTGTGCTCCACACTCAGGCAGCAAAGATGTGAACTTTTCTTGGGGAAATAAACATCTATTCACCCCAGACAAAACTCAAACAGACCAAAGCAATGATTTCACTCAAGTCTTGTTTGGTGAACTCATGATTTTAATTAGTGTTTTAGCCAGTGACATTCTTCCTCCAACAAGGTCACATCTTCTAATCCTTCTCAAGGAGTGCCACTTCCTGATGACTAAGTATTCAAATCATCACAATTAGGTTCCTTACAGGTGCACGGGTGACTTAAGGCTGACTATAACACTGAAGAACAGCAACTGCCAACAGATCCTCTGGGAAGGGTGGGATCCGTTGAGCCTTCCCCCTGTTAACTCCCTATGTCTTTAGGGTGGGGCCACCATGACTAAAAGCTAATGGGCTTTCAGTGAGGGCCTCCTGTTGGCTACTCATTGCTGCTAAAAGTTCAGGAGGGCAACATGGCAGTTGGGCAGTTGTGTTGTACCGGAGGACAGGTGCTACAAAAGCTCAAAGCCACCACTCCAGGAAGTGCTTTGGAATGCATTCGGAAAACCTTTCCAAGTTACTTTCTTCAAAGAAAGTGGATTCCAGGTGCTCAAGAACAGGTCACTTTTGGAACTCTGGTGGAAACAATGTCTGATTTGTCTTGAGACCGTTTCTCAATTAGCCCAGGCTGACCTGGAACTGGATTATCTATGTAGCTGAGGCCAGATTTGAATTTCTGGTCCTCCTGCCTCCACCTCCAGGATGTTAGATTATATCGAGTGATACCACATGGGCTTTGAAATGTTTTGTGTGATGAGTGTTCATGCACTGTGTGTGTGGTGGCCAGCAGTTGACGTCAAGTATCTTCTTTATCACCCCCGTATTATTTTATGAGTCAGGGTCTCTCACTCAACTTGGAGCCCACCCCTGGGATCTGCCTGTCTCCTACAACACTGCACCTGGCCTTTGCATGTATACTAGGATCTAAACTCAAATCTTCGTGCTTGTATAGCAAGCCCTTTACTCACAGAAACAATGGCCATAAGACTAACACATAAGCAAGTTTAAAGCTTCAAATGGAACTGCTGACTGTACCAGCAAATTACGGGTACAGAGCCTCACCGCCCTTCCCAATTGTCTTCGGCCTCATTTCTGTCCACACTTAACTAGCTTTACTCTCATTAATCTCCTCTACTGGAATTAACTGCTTCATAAGTGAAAGCTACAAGTCAGTTTAAATGTTTTTATTTCATTAACTTAAAATGTGAACAAAATGTGTATTTTAAATTTTATTAAACTTATTTACCTGAAACATATGTTTACATAGAGGACAAACAGATACAGAATTTCAAGTAACTTATGGGACAGTCATTATCTGTTAAAAATATTCTTCTTTCTTCCACACAATTTTTCCTTTTTACAGTATAAAAGCTAGATGCAGACTTTTGATGTAAACTTATCTCACTGTTAACTCTGTTGATGAAGATGGGAGACACACTTGCTCACAGTTCAGTTAAATGACACAAACGACAGCTGCTCCCTCACTCCCAGAGAAGCCCATGCCTCTCACAGTAGGACTGTGTGCTCAATGCTCACACCATGCTCACACACATCATTTCTTCTTCTTTCCTTTTCCCTTCTTACTCCCCTCTCCTTGTTGAAGACTTGGGTCAGCACCTCCTGTTTTTTGTGTTCTTGTTTTTAGCTTGGGTATCATTTCTGCTACATATAGCATCACTGACTTACCTAAAAACCAGAAGCAAGGTTTAGTGTAACAATCTTTGAAACACTGAAATGCTTAAATGAGCAAAACGTAACTATAAAACACTAAGTCTGAACCAAGAGTTCTTGTCTTCGTCCTAGCAACCTGCCGCTCGGTGTTCTCTGACCTTTAGTCCCCTGACCTCTACTCCTTACCCTACCTTACTACTCACCATTAGGTAGCTACTGTCTTAAAAATGGGTATTTTAAATAGCTTCCAGCCCATTTAAAAAAGCATTTCTATCAATCAGTATTACTACATATATTCATCAATAAACAGTAGTATTAACATTTAAGTTTCCATGCCTAGCACCACACTATGGTATGTCTACTTTCTATTCTTTGTTCAATATTGCAGCTTAGATTTCATTTACATATTGATTTTGCTGTACTGGGGCTTGGACCCAGGTCCCTGTGCATGCTAGGCAATCCACCACTTAGCTACACCTCTAGATATCTTTTCTATTTTGAGACAAGGCCTTACAAACTTGCTCAGGTTGGTCTTGAACTCACTCTATAGCCCATAAAGGTACTGAATTTGCAGCAATCCTTCTGCCTCAGCTTCCTGAGTGCTGGGGCTACAGATGTGCGGTATGTGTACCCTTTGTACAAGATAACTACCCCTGAACCCAATGCATTCCTTTGAAAAGGCTTACGTGATGGGAACTGTACAAGACACAGGCTGCCATCTTCCTGTCTGAGCTGTACCCGAACTCTGCCTCTGTACTGAACATCACGGTTCCACTCTCTGGAGTACATTTTGTTTTTCTAACACACATAAGACGAAACAAAAACAGGCTTTCAGAGAGTTATAACATCAGTGAGGGGAGTATCAAACACAGTGACAAGAGGCTCACATCATACCTCCAGAAATGCATTCAGTCCAACTGCTGAACAGACATCCTGAATCTCAGTAGCAGTAGGGTTTTCTACAGCCTGAGCAGTACAAAACAAAAACACCAACAGCTGAGTTTTAAGTGAATATTACTATATGGTTGTGTAAATCATTTCTAATATTATGAGCAAAACAGAGACTAAACCCTAGTGTCCTTTTTCTTTTCTTTTTTTTACTAAGTCCATTTATTCCTACTGTAATTTAAAAAATTCTCAGGAATAACAGTTGTGTGTTTCTCTTCCAACATAAGCTGTACGAGAAAAAGGACTTCATCAATACATATCCTAGCACCTAGCAGGATATTCTGAACACAGCAAAAGCTAAATGCAAACTGACTGGCTAAATAACTATACATACAACCATATCTACTAAAGCTGAACATATGATTTGCTATGGCCCTGCAACTGAGGTATATATTCAACAGAAGTGCAAAAGACATGCTCAAGCATGTTCACAGTAGCACTACATATTCATCTTACTTATTTTTATTATTTACTTATGTGTATGTCTGTATACCACATTTGTGCAGTGCCCACAGAGATCAGAAGAGGCCCCGAACTGGAGTTACAGATGGCTGTGAGCTACCATGTGGGGGCAGGGAACAGGTCTTTTGCAAAAGCAGTGTTTTTAACAGCTGAGCCATCTCTCTAGTCCCACAGCACTATCTGTAACAGCCTCAAACTAGAAACAAAAGAAAGGAGTGTGGGATTCACACTTGCAGTTCCACAATGCAGCCAGTACATTGTGGCAGGGGAAGCGTACACATGATCTATTCTGGGAACATTCAGTCATGTTGGGTGACAGTTCTGCTTCAAGATAATTTGAGAAAGGGAACTGCTATCTAGAAGGGAGAGGCCAGGGGTGTTACCATCACCTTGAGATGCACAGACAGTTGTCCAAAACAAACAATTATCTGACTCAGAGATGTCAATGGGGGTTGGAGAGACTGCTCAGCACCGAGGGCTTGTACTGCTCTTGCAGAGGACCCAAGTTCAGTTCCTAGCACCCATACCAGGAAGCTGGAAACCCAGGTCCGGGGGATCTGACGCCCTCTTCTGGCCTCCACAGTACCTGCATTCACATGTATACATTCCCACATACACAACAATAAAAATAGAATAAATCTTTAAAACAAACAAAAACCGTCAATGGTGCTGCTACTAAGAAACTCTTGCTTGAGCAATTAGAGTTAAAAACTACACTGGAGGTGTTGCTTAGCAGCAGAGCACTTGCTTAGCCTATTTGAGGTTGTGCATTCATTCCCAAGCAACAGAACATGCAAAACGTAAGAGTTACGAATCTGTGAGAAAGACAGAAAGGTACATAATGAATAACTCCATACATATAAAATGAAGAACCAGGCCAAGGTGACCTATGGTGTTGAAAATCAGCTCCCTTACATGAGTGAGCGCAGGAAGGAGCTAGAGATGGAGACAGGAATCTTCCAGCATGCTGTTTCCTAAATCTGGGTGCTGTAACCAGCTCTATCCCCAGATGAAAATTATTCAATTTATGCAATTAAAGACTTTTGTCAAGTTTGTTAGCTACGCATCCATGAATTTTCTTTAAAAAAAAAAAATAAACTCTTCAGAGAGCATCTGGGAGCATTATCAAAAGCCTGTCATGGTGCCTTGCTGTTTGGCATTATTCTCAACAGTGCCTCGGAAGAGGCAAAGTGGATTTTAGAGTTTACTCTTTGAAGTAACAGCCAAATGAGAGATACTCATACAAAAATGGCTAATTCTTTGCTTCAGACCTCATTTGATTATAAAACTTGATGACTCTAAAAGTAGAACATTACATAAAAATTCTGTGAGATCTCTCTTTTAGCACTGGGCATTTTCTAAGCTTAAGTCACCAGACCAGCCCCAAATTAGGGTTTTCCTACCCCAAGATCACATTTTTTAGAACTAAAAATCCAGTAATCTGCCTAATTGTGTTCTCACTGATAGGGGATTCCACATGTTGTGCTAATAGCTCTACCATGGAGCTATACTCCATCCCTACATCTACGTTCCAAAAGTACTACCTTTAAAGCGATTTTATACTCCTTAAAAAAAAAGTAATAAAGGCAAAACTCAACAAAGTGGCACTTTGTACAAACCTTTATTCCTAACACACTAAAATAGTGAGTCTGCACCAAAGTAAAATGCCATCACTTTGCTTTTATTAAGATGACTGTCATAATCTTGGTCTTAAAACATAAGAACATTACAGACACCTCTTATTTATACACCTTTTATGTACAAACAGATCATGAATAATCCTCTTGCTTTTCCGGTTTCACCAATTTTTTTTTTGTTGTTGTTATTGTGTGTGTGTGTGTGTGTGTGTGTGTGTGTGTGTGTGTTTGGTTTTTTGAGACACGGTTTCTCTGTGGCTTTGGAGACTGTCTTGGAACCAGTTCTTGTAGACCAGGCTGGTCTTGAACTCACAGAGATCCACCTGCCTCTGCCTCCCGAGTGCTGGGATTAAAGGCGTGCACCACCAACGCCCGGCGGTTTCACCAATGTTAAGGGAGACACTGCAAATCTTGGCTATTGGACCCTTCATTCTCAAAGAAGGGCAGTGAAAAAGAAACAAGGCAACCTTCCCCAAGCCTTCATCGGCCTACGTGTCACGCACTCACCTTACTTATGGGAATCCGCCTCCCCT